GTTAGGTTTTGTTTTGATGCTTTGAATGAAAAAGTGGTGGTGAAGGATTGACGTCGGACGAAAATGATGGAATTTGAAAAATTAAGTTTTCTTTTAGTTTGGGCTACCATTTTTTAGCTTTTGCATGTTAATAATGGGCTTGCAGGGTAATTAGGACTTTTAACAATGTGGGCCTCCGAGTGGGTAAAAAATTGCTATATTTGAAATTTTAGAATGTGAGTGCTATTTTATTAATTTTATGTAATCGTTTTACCATATTTGCAACCGCCAGAGGAAAAGAAAAATTGTGGTAGATAAATATTGGTGTAAATTGTAATCTATAATTATACATATCGAGAAAAACATTTTTGCCCTCTTTGGCGCCCTAATCACGAACATGGAGTGGAGAGATTTTGGTTGCTGAAGGAGATTGCAGAGTTCAAACCAACGTCACTACCGTCGCTGCAAAATCCCATTCCCAATTCCTAGACCCTTTTTCTGTTCATCGCCATTTCGATTCATCAATAAGTCTTCAAACAGCTGTTCTCTCCCATTTTTCTTCCGAAGCCTAAATGAGTAGATCCATCGGAAGAAAGGTTCCAGGACTCTCATTTCTACCCAATGCGACTAAACTAAGCTTTGTGCCGTTTTCTTCTTCTTCTTCTTCTTCTTCTTCCGGTGGCCATGGTCGTGGCCGGGGTCGAGGTGGTTCTCCCTCCCATGGTGGAGGTGGACCCTTTGATTTCACTTCTCGAGTCCCGGGTCAAGAAGATTCAAATGCGTCCAAGCAAGAATCCGTGGATTCTCCTGGTACTTCTGGGTTAGGACATGGGCGTGGCAAGCCCGGTCCTTCCTCCCCAATTCTTCCATCTTTCTCTTCCTTTACGCCCTCCGTTAAGTCCTCGTCTGCTGGTCGGGGTAGAGTCGCTGGTTCGCCACCGATTCGATCTACTCCCGAGTCAGGCTCATCGAAGCAATCTGATTTGGAGCCGAAGAAACCTGTGTTTTTCTCGAAGGATAATGCGGCGAACTCGGCTGCAAGTACTCGACTTGGCGCGTTGGACAGGGGTGTGGGGGAGAGAAA